AAAAAAAAAAAAAAAAAAAAAAACCCTCATTCCAGAAAAGGTTCTGCCCTATACCTGGAAGGACGGAATGCCGTACAGAGAGACCAAGAAGAGTATGGCCGGCCTTGTTGGGTTCCCCCAACCCCAGTCTATTACCATTAAATTATGCTTGTTTTGTTCAATTACATTTCTGTACAGTTGTCCATTCTTCATCAAATCTAAGCATAAAAATAGTTTTCCCTGGATCCTTAGGGCTTCATTTCCAAAGGCTCCCGTGTCACTTAAAACTTTGATTAAATAAATGTATTATGCTTTTCTCCTGTTAACTGTCTTTTGTTACAGGAGTATTGGCTATGACCCTCGTGATGAGTCAGGAAGGAATCACCCCTTTCTGCCCTACAGAATAAAAAGAAATAATAGCTAAGACTAGTAAAGCATAAAAGGCAAAGGTGCAGGGCTTCAAGTAGAGAAGGAGAACAGAACAAATAGCTCATACACACCCAGAATGTTACTTCCCTGTCCTTCCATGTTACTCCAAGACCCCTCAGGGACCTTGTGCCTGGGGAGAGAATCGGCCTGCCCCGTGCAACAGTGGGCTTTACCCCAGGTCACCACCAGCCCCAGCTCCAAACTCTCTAACACCGTCCAAGTAAAATCACACCTATAGCAGTAATAATATTTGAGGTGACCAGTTGGTATTATCTCAAACTTAGGAAAAGTGAATAAAGTCATCTTTAGAAAGTGTACTTTGTTTTAAACCTTGTAGTTTGCAAGCTAAGTGAAAATGGGCTCCTGTATGAGAATGTTGTATCAACGTTTTTTGTGTTAGCCAAAAACTAGAAACAAATCAAATGCCCATCAACAGAAGAATATATTAGAGTATATTGATATGATAGAATATTACATCACAATTTAAAAAAAACACTACTGATACATGCAACCACATGGATGAATCTCACAAACAAAATGCTGACTGAAAGAAGCCAAAGAGAAATGAGTAGATTCTATATGATTTCATTTATATGATACTCCAAAGCAGGAGGAACTAATCTATGGGGATAAAGGTCAGAGAGTGGTTGGTTATCTTTGGAGGGTATCAGCAGGGAAGGAGTATGAGGGAACCTACTGGGGACCTGAAAATACATGGAGCTTGGTGGTGGCTACATGGCTACCAACAGATGGAAAAATTCATCAGCTGTACACTTAAGAGGTGTCCACCTCAAACCTCTGTTACCTATCAATAAAAAGGAAAAAATATTCAGAACTTTATTTTTCTTGAAACAGAGTCTTGCTCTGTTCCCCAGGCTGGAGTGCAATGGTGCGATCTTGGCTCACTGCAGCCTCTGCCTCCCCAGTTCAAACGATTCTCCAGCCTCAGCCTCCCGAGTAGTTGGGACTACAGATGTGCGCCACCATGCTGGCTAATTTTTTTGTTTTTTTAGAGACAGAGTTTCACCATGTTGGCCAGGCTGGTCTCGAAATTCTGACCTCTGACCTCAAGTAATCTGCCCACCTCAGACCCCAAAGTGCTAGGATTACCGGTGTGAGCCACTACACCCAGCCTGGAGCAGCTTTAAAATAATGTATTGGCTCTGCAAATGCAACTTCAAGACAAGTCCCTTAGCTGTGTCCACCCCACCCCAAGTCCCCACCCTTAAGCCTCACCCAAGTGGAATTCTGACACTTCTCCTATAGAGAACTTTGGAAGGTGTCTGCCGCATTGATCCTGGAGTGTGTATTTATTTGGGGTTATATAAATCTGATCTGTGGAAGCCACCTGAGGTCAGGACGAGATGGAGGGTATCCTTCAGGAGTAGGATGTGTCCAGCATCATCTCTGGGGAAGGGGACCAAAAAATTTATCTTCCAAACAAGGACTGTTTCAAGAACGGAAGGGGCTCCATTAATATTTTCACCTGGACAAGAGGCAAACACCAGAATGTCCCCGATGAAGGGATATATAATGGACCTTCTTGATGTGAAACCTGCCAGATGGGCTGGAAAGTCCATATACTGGAACAAGTATGACTTCAGTTGTTTGGGACAAGGACAGGGGACAAGAGAAGAAAACGGGCAAAAAGAGAAGCCTGTACTCAGCCAAGTGTGCAGAGATGTTACATATGATTGCTCTTCAGGGAACCGGGCCTCCAGCCCACACCCCAGCAGCTCAACCTCCTCCTCCCCGAATTGACTGTCCCTTCTCTGGAACTCCTAGGCCTGACCCCACTCCCTGGCCCTCCCAGCCCACGATTCCCCTGACCCGACTCCCTTTCCCAGAATTCAGTCGCCTGAACCCCCAGCCTGTGGTTCTCTTCTAGGCCTCAGCCTTTCCTGCCTTTGACTGAAACAGCAGCATCGTCTAAGCCCTGGGGGCTTCCCCAGGCCCCAGCCCCGACCTAGAACCCGCCCGCTGCCTGCCACGCTGCCGCTGCCGCTTCCTCTATAAAGGGACCCGAGCGTCCGGGCCCAGGGGCTCCGCACAGCAGGTGAGACTCTCCGGCCCCATCTCCTTGGGCTGCCCGTGTTCGTGCTTCGGATTACCACCCCACAGTGTCCTGCCCTCTGCCTGGGCCTCGGTCCCTCCTGCACCTGCTGCCTGGATCCCCGGCCTGCCTGGGCCTGGGCCTTGGTGGGTTTGGTTTTGGTTTCCTTCCCTGTCTCTGACTCTCCATCTGTCAGCCTCTTTGTCTCTGTCTCTCATACATTCTCTGTTTCTACCATGATCCCTCTCTGTTCCCTTCCCGACTCTCTCTGTCGCCCTCTGCTCACCTTGGGGTATCTCTGACTGCATCCTGTCCCCTTCTCTGTCGATCTCTCTCTCCGGGGGTGGGGGGTGCTGTCTCCCAGGGCAGGAGGTCTGTCGCCTGTCTTCTGCAGTGTGCCCCGCCCCGCTCACTCTCTCTCTCTCTCTCTGCAGGTTCTCCCCCATGACACCACCAGAACGTCTCTTCCTCTCAAGGGTGCAGGGCACCCCCCTACACCTCCTCCTTCTGGGGCTGCTGCTGGTCCTGCTTCCTGGGGCCCAGGTGAGGCAGCAGGAGAATGGGAGTTTCTGGGGTGGTCCAGCCAAACCTTGAGCCCTAAAGCTCCCCCTCAACTCTGTTCTTCCCTAGGGGCTCCCTGGTGTTGGCCTCACACCTTCAGCTGCCCAGATTGCCCGTCAGCACCCCAAGATGCATCTTGCCCGCAGCACTCTCAAACCTGCTGCTCACCTCGTTGGTAAACATCCACCTGACTTCCCAGACATGTCCCCACTAGCTCTGCTCCTACCCCTGCTTCAGGAACCCAAGCATCCACCGCTCTCCCTCAACTTCCCCCACCCCCAAAAAACACTGGCAGCCCACTCTCACACCTCCCCCAGCCATCCCCCAGGAGCTCAGTTGTCCAATGCCTGCTTCCTTGGGGATTGAGACCTCTAACCCAGACCTCTGACCTTCCACCCCCATCCCCTATGGCTCTTCCTAGGAGACCCCAGCAACCAGAAATCACTGCGCTGGAGAGCGAACACAGACCGTGCCTTCCTCCAGGATGGTTTCTCCTTAAGCAACAATTCTCTCCTGGTCCCCACCAGTGGCATCTACTTTGTCTACTCCCAGGTGGTCTTCTCTGGGAAAGCCTACTCTCCCAAGGCCACACCCACCCCACTCTACCTGGCCCATGAGGTCCAGCTCTTCTCCTCCCAGTACCCCTTCCACGTGTCTCTCCTCAGCTCCCAGAAGATGGTATATCCAGGGCTGCAGGAACCCTGGCTGCACTCGATGTACCATGGGGCTGCGTTCCAGCTCACCCAGGGAGACCAGCTATCCACCCACACAGATGGCATCCACCACCTAGTCCTCAGCCCTAGTACTGTCTTCTTTGGAGCCTTTGCTCTGTAGAACTTGGGAAAATTTGGAAAGAAAAAATAATTGATTTCAAGACCTTCTCCCCATTCTGCCTCCATTCTGACGATTTCAGGGGTCACCACCGCCTCTCCTTTGACCATTCCAACAGCTCAAGTCTTCCCCAGTCAAGTCAGCTGGAGCTTTCAAAGAAGGAATTCTAGGCATCCCAGGGGACCACACCCGCCTGAACCATCCCGGATGTCTGTCTGGCTGGGGATTTCAAGCCTGTCTAGGAATTCCCAGCCCAAAGCTGTTGGTCTGTCCCACCAGCTAGCTGGGGCCCAGATCCACACACAGAGGAAGAGCAGACACGTGGGGGAGCTTGGGGGATGACAGGGGGCAGGGAGGGGACTATTTATGAAGGCAAAAAATTAAATTATTTATTTATGGAGGATGGAGAGAGGGGAATAATAGAAGAACATCCAAGGAGAGAGAGAGAGAGAGGCCCAAAAGATGAAGAGTGAGAAGGCATGGGCACAAGGCTGACCAAGAAAGAAAGAAGTAGGCGTCACGGGGGGTCACGGGGCCTCAGAAGGCAGCGAAAGGCCCTGAAAGCCAGCTGCCGACCAGAGCCCCACACGGAGGCATCTGCACCCTGATGAAGCCCAATAAATCTCTTTTCTCTGAAATGCTGTCTGCTTATGCGTGTCTGTCTGGGAGTGAGAATTCCCCAGTCTATCTCAGGAATGGAGGGCAGGACAGGGGGCTCACAGGGAGCAACAGCTGTGGGCAGAACAAGAGGATAAAGGGCTCAGAGAGCTTCAGGGATATGTGATGGGCTCATCAGGTGAGGCAGCCAGACTGCTGCAGGGGAAGCAAAGGAGGAGCTGAGAAGACAAAGGAAGAGTCAGGGTCTGCAGGGGTGGGGGTCAGGGAGCCTCTGGGAGATATGGCCACATGTAGTGGCTCTGAGGAATGGGTGACAGGAGACCTCTGGCGAGATGTGACCACAGCAAAGGGTAGGAGAATGTCCAGAGCTATGGGGGTCGAGTGCGGGGATCCCCGCTCCAAGACAGGGCCATACAGAGGGCCCCAGGGAGTGAAAGAGCCTCCAGGGCCTCCAGGTACAGAATCCAGGGGATGTTTAAGAAGACATGGCCACACATTGGGGCGGTGAGAAATGAGAGCTTCACCAACAAATCAGGGACCCCAGAGTTTCTTGGAAGCCAAGACTGAAACCAGCAGTGTGAGTCCCAGGGTCAGAATGAAAGGAGAAGCCCTACCCAGTGGGGTCCGTGAATTCCCGGGGCTGATTTCACTCCCTGGGGCTGTCCCAGGCTTGTCCCTGCTACCCCCACCCAGCCTACCCCGAGGTCCTGAGTCTGTCCCCACGTATGGAGCTGCCCTGTCCCTGGCTCCTTCTCCTCCCAGGGACCCAAACACAGACCTCAGGACTCAACACGGCTTTTCCCTCCAACTCCGTTTTCTCTCCCTTGAGGACTCAGCTTTCTGAAGCCCCTCCCAGTTCTCCCTCTTTTTCCTGCATCCTGTCTGGGCATCAGAGGGAAACAGACCACAGACCTGGTCCCCAAAAGAAATTCAGACAATAGGCTTTGAGGGGCATGGGGGAAAGGACTTCAGCCTCCAGGGTCCTACACACAAATCCGTCACTGGCCCAAAAGGGCCCCTCGGAATCGGAGCAGGGAGGGTGGGGAGTATGAGGAGTATCCTTGATGTTTGGGTGTCCCCAACTTTCCAAATCTCCACCCCCGTGATGGAGAAGAAACGGAGACTGAAGCTTTAGGGCCCACTACCGCTTCCTCCAGATGAGCTCATGGGTTTCTCCACCAAGGAAGTTTTCCGCTGGTTGATTGATTCTTTCCCCGCCCTCCTCTCCCCTCAGGGACTTTATAAAGGCAGTTGTTTCACACCCAGCCAGCAGACGCTCCCTCAGCAAGGACAGCAGAGGACCAGCCAAGAGGGAGAGAAGCAATTCCAGACCCCCCTGAAAACAACCCTCAGACACCACATCCCCCGACAAGCTGCCAGGAGGGTTATCTCCCTCTGACATACTGCCCCAAGGCTCCACCCTCTCTCCCTTGGAAAGAACAGCCATGAGCACTGAAACCATGATCCAGGACGTGGAGCTGGCCGAGGAGGCGCTCTCCAAGACCAGGGGGCCCCAGGGCTCCAGGCAGCGCTGGTTCCTCAGCCTCTGCTCCTTCCTGCTCGTAGCAGGTGCCACCGTGCTCTTCTGCCTGCTGCACTTCGGAGTGATCGGCCCCCAGACGGAAGAGGTGAGTGCCTTGCCAGCCTTCATCACTCTCCCACCCAAGGGGAAGTAGAGACGCAAGAGAGGGAGGGAGACGGAATGGGCAAAAGACGTGTGCTGACAGGGAGGGATGGAGAGAAAAAACGTGGAGAAAGATGGGGATGCAGAAAGAGATGTGCCAAGAGATGGGAAGAGAGAGAGAAAGATGGAGAGACAGGCTGTCTGGCACACAGGAGGTGTCCACCAAGTGTGTATGGAGTGAAAGAATGAATGAATGAATGAGCAAGCAGATATATATATAAGATATGGAGACAGATGTGGGTGTAACAGAGAGATGGGGAAGAAACAAGTGATGCGAATAAAGATGGTGAGACAGAAAGAGATGTGGGAGATATGAGACAGAACTAAGGAGAGAGACGAGGACGATAAGGAGAGATGAAGATAGGATGTCTGGCGCACAGAAGACACTCAGTGAGAGTTGTTGAATGCAGGGAGGGTGAATACACGGATGAATGGAGAAAAAAAAGCAGACACTCAGGGCTCAGAGCGCAGGCCAGGCAGGCAGCCAGCTGTTCCTCCTTTCAGGGTGCCTCCCTCGATGCTAACCATTCTCCTTCTCCTCAACAGCCCTCCAAGGACCGCTCTCCAATCAGCTCTCTGGCCCTGGCAGTCAGTAAGTGTCTCCAAACCTCTTTCCTAATTCTGGGTTTGGGTTGGGAGGTAGGGTTAGTATCGGTATGGAAGTAGTGGGGGAAATTTAAAGTTTTGTTCTTGGGGGGAGGACGGATGAACGGGAAAGTAGGGAGGTATTTTCTAGAAGTTTAAGGGTCTCAGCTTTTTCCTTTTCTCTTTCCTCTTCAGGATCATCTTCTCAAATCCCGAGTGACAAGCCTGTAGCCCATGTTGTAGGTAAGAGCTCTGAGGATGTGTCTTGGAACTTGGAGGGATAGGATGTGGGGGTTGAAGCCTGGCTGAGGGTCGTTGGGCCTCGGAGACAGTGTGAGAAAGACTCGCTGAGCTCAAGGGGAGGGTGGAGAAACAGTACAGGGCTTGGGGGATACTCAGAACATCATCCAGGTGGGATGTGGGATGACAGACAGAGGGGACAGGAACCGGATGTGGGGTGGGCAGAGCTTGAGGGCCAGGATGTGGAGACTGAACCGACACAGCCACACTGACTCCCCTCTCTCTCTCTCCCTCCCTCCCTCCAGCAAACCCTCAGGCTGAGGGGCAGCTCCAGTGGCTGAACCGCCGGGCCAATGCCCTCCTGGCCAATGGCGTGGAGCTGAGAGATAACCAGCTGGTGGTGCCATCAGAGGGGCTGTACCTCGTCTACTCCCAGGTCCTCTTCAAGGGCCAAGGCTGCCCCTCCACCTTTATGCCCCTCACCCACAGCATCAGCCGCATCGCTGTCTCCTACCAGGCCAAGGTCAATCTCCTCTCTGCCATCAAGAGCCCCTGCCAGAGGGAGACCCCACAGGGCGCTAAGACCAATCCCTGGTATGAGCCCATCTACCTGGGAGGGGTCTTCCAGCTGGAGAAGGGTGATCGACTCAGCGCTGAGATCAATATGCCTCACTATCTCGACTTGGCTGAGTCTGGGCAGGTCTACTTTGGGATCATTGGCCTGTGAGGAGGACGGACGTCCATCCTTCCCAAGCCCCTCCCCTGCCCCAATCCCTTTATTATCCCCTCCTTCAGACACCCTCATCCTCTACTGGCTTAAAAGAGAATTAGGGGCTTAGGGTCGGACGCCAGGCTTAGAACTTTAAGCAACACCACCACCACTTCGAAACCCGGGACTCAGGACAGTGTGGCCTGCACAGCAAAGCACTGGCAACCACCAAGACTTCAGACTGGGGCCTCCAGAACTCACTGGGGCCTATAGCTTTGATCCCTGAACTCAGTCTGTGACATCTGGAATCTGGGGACCTGGAGCCTTTGGTTCCGGCCAGAACGCTGCAGGGCTTGAGGAGACCTCACCCAGAAGTTGACATGAGTGACCTCGGCCTTCCTTTCTCCAGATGTTTCCAGACTCCCCTGAGACACAGAGCCCAGCCCTCCCCATGAAGCCAGCCCCTCTATTTATGTTTGCACCTGTGATTATTTATTATTTATTTATTATTTATTTATTTACCGATGAATATGTATTTATTTAGGAGGTCGAGGTATCCCGGAGGACCCAATGTAGGAGCTGCCTTGGCTAGACATGTTTTCTGTGAAAACAGAGCTGAATAATAGGCTGTTCCCACGTGGCCTCCTGGCCTCTGTGCCTTCTTTTGATTATGTTTTTTAAAATATTCATCTGATTAAGTTGTCTGAACAATACTGGTTTGGTGACTGACTGTCACTCATTGCTGAACCTCTGCTCCCCAGGGGAGTTGTCTGTAATCGCCCTACTATTCAGTGGCGAGAAATAAAGTTTGCTTAGAAAAGAAACATGGTCTCCTTTTTGGAATTAATTCTGCATCTGCCTCTTCTTGGGAATGGGAAGAAGCTCCCTAAGTCCTGTCTCCACAGGGTTTAAGATCCCTCAGACCCAGTCCCATCCTTAGACTCCTGGGCTCCTACATAAACAAAGCCCAGCAGAATATTCCCCATGCCCCGGGAAACAGGCACCTGAACCTAATTACCTTTCCCTCAGGGCATGGGAATTTCCAATTCCGGGAATTCCAGTCCTTGCTGGGAAAATCCTACAGCTCAGGTGAGATTTCCGGCTGCTGCAGCTGGCCAACCAGCGGGGAAAGCTGGGGAGGGGCCACATTCTCAGGTACCTGAATCACAGTCAGGGGACTTCACCCTGTCCTAACTCTGCCTCCTGAACCAGCCACTTAACCTATCTATCAATGAAGATAGGAACGTCCTCCACACATAGGGCATGTGAGAGAAGGTTTGACCTCCATCAGAGGACCTCACTCAGCCCTTGGCACAGTGGGCACTCAGTGAATTCTGGCTTACTTCCTTCAACCAGTTTTCAGCTGTTCTATCCCCTTCCATTCTCTCAGTGGGTGAAATTGAAGAGACTGAAGACAATAAAGAGGGAACTGAACCGCTGGGCATGGTAGCATGCACCTGTGATCCCTTCGCTTCAGGAGATCAAGGTGAGAAGATCGCTTGAACCCAGGAGCCCGAGAGCAACTTAGGCAACATAGTGACATCCTGTCATCCTGCCTCTATTTTTTAAAAAAGAAAAATATATAGGAATAAGAGGTGGGTGAAGGACTCACAAGCCAGTTTGGTCCCACTCGTCTTTGTAGTGAAGGAGGGGAGAGGTGTGAGATGGGTGATCTGGGAAGAGAAAAGCACCCTCTCCCCCAATGAAGGCTCTTCTGAACAGAGTCAAAGACAAATAAGGGGCAGGTGCAGTGGCTCATGCCTGTAATCCCAGCACTTTGGGAGGCTAATGCGGGAGGATCACTTGAGCCCACTAGTTCAAGACCAGCCTATGAAACATAACAAGACTTTGTTTCTATAAAAAATTTAAAAATTAGCCAGGTGGGCCAGGCACCGTGGCTCACGCCTGTGATCCCAGCACTTTGGGAAGATGAGGCAGGTGGATCATGAGGTCAGGAGTTCGAGACCAGCCTGACCAACATGGAGAAACCTCATCTCTACTAAAAATACAAGATTAGCAGGACATGGTGGCACATGCCTATAATCCCAGCTACTCGGGGGGCTGAGGCAGGAGAATCACTTGAACCCAGGAGGCAGAGGTTGCGATGAGCCGAGATCACACCATCGCACTCCACTACCACACAGTTTTCTTCAACCTGGGCAACAAAGGCGAAACTCCACCTCAAAAAAAAAAAAAAAAATTAGCCAGGTGGGGCATGCCTGTAGTCCTAGCTACTCAGGAGGCTGAGACAGGAGGATCACTCGAGCCCAGGGTTTGAGGTTACAATTAGCTATGATCATGCCACTGTACCCCCTGTCTGGGTGACAGAATGAGACCCTGTCTCAAAAATAGTATTCCAAAAACAAATATGGAGGCAGAGATTGAGTCCCCCAAGACTGGGAGCCCCCAGTGAACTTGGAAATTAGGCTTTACCACCAACCATGGGGTGCCAGGCAGGAGAAAACTGTGTAGTAGGCTGAGGGGGTGGGGTGACCCAGTGGGGTGACCTAGATAGGGCCTTGGGTCACCCTCTGCCTCCCCCAGCCTGTGGCTGAAAGTCGGTCGTGAAGTAAGGAGGGACTACCGTTACCCCGAGGCGCCCACACTTACTCACTTTTGGGAACGGGGACCTAAAGTGTGAACAAAAGGTGAGGATTTTCCACCTCACCCTAAATGGGACATTGTGGCATTGGTTTTTCCTCCTCCCCAGAACTTCCTGGTGTTTTCGGGTACCACAGACTCCTTCCGTCATCCCCATCTCTCTAATATCTTCCCCTTCTTTCTCCTTCAGCCTCCTCCCTTCAGCCCCCATGAGCCTTGAATTAAGCTCCTTGGAGAAGAGTTGACTGTGGGGTAGGAGAGAAAGTGGCCTTCAGGCAGCCCTGGGGGAGAAGTGCGGGGCCCCTCCACACCTCATTCCTCTTTCATGATAGGGGCTTACTCTGCTGCTTGGCCTTTCTGAGCGGTGCTTGCTGTGCTCTGTAGTGACCCCTCTCACTGTTGAGAGGACCCAAGAAAAAAAGAGTGTGGTGCTGAGTCTGGTTGGGACCATGCGGGCCTGAAAATCAGGATACCTGGAGAAGCTTAGGAGTTTGAGTAGTCCCCCTTCCTCCACGCCCCAACTGGACTAATGGTGGGGCCTGGCCATTTGGAGGCAGGGAGGGGCGGGACCAGCAGACCACCATCCGCAGGAGCAAAGCCCATACATTGTGTTGTGGTGAATTGTTTCAAGCAACCAGAAAAGTACAGAGAATATTTAACCCACACCTGTGAACCCATCCTGAATTAAGACGCGTCACATCTCAGCACCTGTATCAGCAGCACTGAAGCTTTCCATTCTTTATTTTCATCGGACTCAAAATCAATTTCCAAACAGTCTCCTACATTTTTCCCACTGCCATGGGGTCCTGGGCGTCCGGGCCCCCAATATTCACACACTCGCATCACGCAGTCATAGCCCCTCACCCCACCATCACGGCCCCAAAGAAGGTCTTCCCTCTCGCGAAGTCCACCATATCGGGGTGACTGATGTTGACGTACACCCTCTCGCCCCTCCGGAGCTGCACCAGGCCGCCGAACCCCACGCTCGTGTACCAGAGAGGCCCGTACCCTTGCCTCCCGGCCGGGTCCAGCACCAGGGTCACGGTCTCGGCGCCCTCGAGCAGCAGCTCCGGAGTGCCCGGCCCGTAGGCGCCCCCCTCGCGGTACAGCGAGCTGCGCAGCGTGACCGAGCGGCCCCGGGGACCCTCGCCGCCAGGGGGCGCCCGGCCCCGGTAGCCGACGAAACAGTAGAGGTAATAGAGGCCGTCCTGCGGGAGCGCCAGCCCCTCGGCGTCCGAGAACTGCGTCCCGCTGCTCAGAAACGCCTGTTCCTTCGCGGCCTCCCAGGCTAGCCCGTGCCCCTTCAGCGGAGCGCCTGCGGAGACATGGGCCCGCGCGCTCTTGGGAAAACGATCCTAAAGGCTCGGGTTCTGGGAGAGTGGCGGCTCTTAGCCCCGGCGGGAGCCGCGCGGGGCCGGGGCGGGGGGTGTGTGAGTCGGGGGGGCGCTGTCTCTGGGATGAGCGCGAGTTGGAGGCCGAGGGAACCGGGCTATGGGGTGCAGAGCGCCGTAGTGGGGACCTCCGGGCCGGCTTTTGCCAGCGCTGGAGGGAATAAGCAGCTGCACTGCAGGGACGAGCGGAAGGGTGGGCGCGAGCGGTGAAATGTGGTGAAGCGGGTGGGAAACCGATCCCTGGAATCATGGAGCCCAGGGACTCTGGGCGAGCAGAACTGGAACCTTCGGATTATTTAAACTCTTATTCGGGTCTTTGAGATCCTTACCTATGAGGTGGGCAGCTGGGAGCTCGGGGCTGAGATCTGTTTCTGGCTCCTCCTCCGGCAGCTTCTGAAACCCTGGAAGGGGCATAATAGAGTCCACGATTGGGGCCAGGGCAGCCACTCATGCTGGCGACCCTTGAGAGGACAGGGTGCAGGGATGGGGAGCCTGGATTCCTGGAGGAAGAGGTATCTGGGTACGCAGCTGGGAGCTGGGAGCCCCTGAGGGGCTGGATAGGGTAAGGAGAAACGGTCAGCTCTTACCCAGTCCTTGCTGGGCCTGTGCCCCGGGGTCAGCGGTCTCCGTTACCTGGTTGGGTGGGGTCACAGTGCCCAGAGTTCAGATTCAGCTCATGTCACCCCTACCCCTCTGAAAATGGATTCAAGCTGCAGGCCTGGGGTTTCTCCCACCAGCACCATCCCCAACCACACCTCCCTAGAAGGGAAAGCAAGCAAGACATAGGTGCTTGGGCAGAGAGACAGATGTGCCTTGGGAAGAGGAGACATAAGGGGCTTACGTTGGGAGATAAGCACAACATCATAGGTACATGGAAAGAGAGTCAGCAAAGACACAAGACATCCCCACCAGGGACGGTGGAGCCAGCTGAGCCAGAGGGGGCAAAAGACCACAGGCAGGACCAGAGGGAGCCCAGCATCCGAAACAAACAGCCCTCCACCAGGACCTGTTGCAGCCACTCACCAGTCCTCCCTGATCCTGGGGCACCAAGGCCAGCACAGCCAGGACAGTGATAGGCACCACCAGCAACAGGGTCACCAGAAATGTGGCTCCTGCCACAGCCAGCAGGAGGGAGCCCCTCCCCTGGAGCCTCCCACCCCTGCCCTCCAGCCCCATTGCCCCCATTGAGACTGAACCAGAGGCAGAGCGGGGGCTTTCATACCTCAGGGATGGGGCCACCCCCTCCCTGTAGACCTACACACCTGGCTGGGACTTTCCACACACCCCAGCTCCCCTCACCCAGCTTCCTGTTTACCCAGAGCTGGGGTGGGGCAACTGGATGCCTGGGTTCTCCGAACTGGGGGAGAAGTTGGGGTATGGAGACAGGCTCTCAGGGTGGAACCAAAGGGGGCTTTAGACATCTTCTGGCTCAGCAGAGAGGGAAACTGAGGTCTGGGGAGGGAAGATAGCTTGCAGAAAGCCAGTCAGCAGAGCTGAAATGAGAACACCGATCTCCAGGTCCAATGTGGTTTGCATTCTTCTACACCCTTAAGGTAGGTGCTGAAGGAAGAGCTGATCCACAAACCTGAGGTCAAGGGCTGGAGTAGGACAAGGACTGGAGTCTTGAGGGATGGATGTCTGGGTCCCTGAGAAGAACTGATTCCCATACTGGGCTGACCTCCTCCCATTCCCTTGCTCATCTCCAGACCCTGTGCTGGGTGAGAAAGGCAGAGGTAAGCCTTAGCGTCACCACTGACTGCTGACTCACTGAGGAGGGATGGAAATGGAGCTTTACCTCCCTGCTGCAAAAAGTAAAGACAGATAGACGAGGCATACTCGCACCCTCAAAGACCTTCGAAGTCTACAGTGAGCGCTATCCATGAATAGGTGTTTACTAAATGTTTGTATATAAATGAATAAAAGGACAAATAAATGCGGGAATAACCAAAACAAAGCAGCAAGGACCAAATGGTAGATGTAAGGCAGTGTGACTGGTAAGAGTCAAGGGAGGAGGCCGGGTGCA